ATATCACTACTGCTACAGCTATAACCAATACTGCTAATTTTACTACTACTACTACTACTACTACCACCACCACTACTACTACTACTACTACTACTACTACTACTACTATACTACTACTACTACTACTACTACGATGTAATCAGTCCATCACCCTTAAAGTTTTGAGGTGGTCAGTCCCTCAGTCTGGAGAAGAGCATTGTTCCGTAGTCTGAAACAATATGGTGATTTTACTTAAAAAACGTTGCTGCAGCTTAAACTACTACTATTACTAGTACTTTGACTATTACTACTAATTCTACTGCTACTAGAACTAGTACTATTACTGCTACGGCTGCTACCATTACTACTACTACTATTACTAATACCACTACTACTACTACAGCTTCATCGACTACTACTTTATGACCTATTATTTCTACCTCTCATCTTGTTACTGATATTATTACTACCGCTATTGCACGTATTCCTGATACCATTTATGTTACTTTTAATGAGACTAATACTGCTGATGATTGAGACATGTGCAACACTTGTGTACGAAGATGTTTCGCCAGCTTTATCTATTCCGTAAATAGATTATTTGACGATGTTGAACAGTCCCTAATTCTGGATTTGGGAGTTCACCACCCAGGTCGTAATGAATCTGAAGCAATGGCAGGAAGATGATCGCTAATATAGGAGTCAGGCGAGGTACAGCACTAGAAGATATCGTTACCGTAAGCGTGACCTACTGGTGGAAGTAGGTCATGTCCAAGAGTTTAGCCAAAGTTTATCAGATTGTAAACAGAAAGTGTCCTCTGTACCAGGACTGGAAAGTGCTGTAGTGTCAGACAGGTATGATAATATCAGACAGATATGGTAGCACTAACGGTATAGGATAACGAGATGATGTTGTTGATAAGACACATCTGCAACACGTAGGTATATTTATTATCAAGAAATTTAGCCAGCCAGTGGTTTTATCAATTCAGTTTAGAAGAGGATACTTTCATGAACCTGTATGGTAACCTCTTCCCCAACTCTTGTACAAGACCTACTTCCACTGATGGTGACTAGGCCTTCTACTGCTGCAGAAGTGATTTTATTTAATTGCAGGTACACATAAATACAGTTGTGCAAGAATGGTATATAATACCGACAAGATGAAATTAAGACACAGGTGCAACATCTGGGTATCTTTATTGTAGACGTTTCGCCATCCAGTGGCTTTATCAATACAAATTCTAGGACATAACTTGAAGACAGTATAATAGACAGGGACTGATTACCTCATCTTCTGTACATGGTTCTACTGTCTTCAAGTTATGTCCTAGAATTTGTATTGATAAAGCCACTGGATGGCGAAACGTCTACAATAAAGATACCCAGATGTTGCACCTGTGTCTTAATTTCCTAAACACAGTTATCAAACATAGTTAACATTACCTAGGTAAACCAAAACATTCAGACAAAGTAAATTATTCCCATTGAGGTAATCGTAATATCTTATTATTTAAACCTTAAAATTTGTTACAGCTATTATTTACCTGTAACAAATTTTAAGGTTTAAATAATAATTTATTTGAATGTTTTTGGCTACGGTGACGACCACCGTCAGAGTCTTCTACTGCCTACAATTTATACACCTTCAAATAACTTTTGAATTTCGATGAATGGTTCAGAGAACCGACAAGTTTGATAAATTAGACATATGTGCAACACTTTGTTATCTTTAATGAGGAAACGTTTCGCCACACAGTGGCTTCATCAGTCCATCATTCTTGAAAAGATTGATGGACTGATTACATCGACGCAAGTCTGAGGGACTGATTACCTCAAACTCCTGTTCTTCACCATTCTCCTTTGTATGGACTGATGAAGCCATTGTGTGGCGAAAAGTTTCCTCACTAAAGCTACCCTACTGTTGCAAATGTGTCTAATTTACCAACTTTTGAATTCATGAAGCCACTGTTTGGCGAAACATCATAATACCGACACCCAGGTGTTGCACCTTTGTGTTATTCATTATTTTGATGTTTTTGCCTTGTATTATCATTACCATAACAGTACTGTTTCTACTGGCACTGTTGTTAACGCTGCTGCTAATGCTACTCCAGCTGCTAATACGACTGCTGCTTCTATCACTGATACTTCTACTAAAACTACTGCTGCTACTTCTACTACTATACTACTGCTGCTACTACTACTACTACTACTGCTGCTACTTCTACTACTACTACTGCTGCTACTTCTACTACTACTACTGCTGCTACTTCTACTACTACTACTGCTGCTACTTCTACTACTACTACTACACTTTATCATAATACATCGGTTACTACTGCTTTACTACTACTTCTAATACTAGTAATGCTATAATAGTATAAATTTTGCTACTTTTGCCAATATTACTACTACTACTACTACTACTACTACTACTACTACTACTACTAGTTTTAGTACTACATCCATTATTACTGTTATTATTACTGCCACTTCTTCCGTATCAATAATAATAATA